TCTAGTTTCTACAAAAAGCACAACTAAATATTAACCTACTAAGTACCAAAAACCTTAGGCTTTATTGGATGATGCCCATCCTCCTCCTGAAGGATGCTCCCAGGTAAGTCTAATGCTCTAGACAATAGTAAGTTTGGACTTGATCAGTCTAAATGTGGCTGTGTCCAAGACACTTGCGTAAAGCCCCTATTGCCCTCAGTGGGAGTCAGCGATAAATAGGAACGCTTTCCATGGGCCCAGCCTCCAGTAATTAATATTTCACATCTCGCTCCAGAAATATCATCCAAGTTGCAACATGAATGATGTCTCCTAGGTTACAGGACAAAAATTACTGACTCCAGGGGGATTTGCTCCTTGACTCTTTTGGCCATTAAGCTGAGATGGAGGAGGCTGCTCCTTCCTCTGGATCACTGGAGTTAAATCCACAATAACTGGGTCTAGAAAATGTGACACCCAAGGTGGGTAATAAAGGAAATTATCATCTGTTTGGCCTCTATCAGAGGAGAAGGAAAGATGAAATACAGCTGCCAAAGAAAAGGAGTAAGTTTAGACAATACAACAGCTCTCCCTAGAAGTAAGATTGCGCAGCACTACTTCATGTACAGACTTCACAAGAGACTCTATAGAGTGCATTATATAGCTGGCGAGCATGGGTCAGGTATGGATGCACATAAATCCATAGGGCCTGACGTAGATGTATCTGCACTACAGAGTAATGTTGGGAAGAACTAGATGACCTCTGAAGACACTTTTGTTCAGTTCCTGCAACTCTGGTCTTGTGCGTAAGTGTTTAAATGTTAAGTATTGTACACCTTAGCATATACTTGTCAGAATATATTAGCGTAACATAGAAACTTGCTTTTAAGGTGCACTAAACGCAAGGTTAGACGTGATAAAGTCAAACTTCGTACTTCATAGAAACTCAAGTTGCTGTGGTGGTAGGTCAGCAGATGTTTTGACTTCTTGGCACCATGACATGGCGTTATGCTATAATATGCTGGGCCTGATTGTAACTATAACAAAGCCTAATCTGTGCTAGCATGCAAAGTCTGAATAAAATTTAAAGGGTTTTTTTTTGGTGAGAATTGTAGAAAACCACTGGGTTTGTGAATTCTGTTGGATGAATTCAGTTTTACTTTGATCACTGTAAATGTTTGAATAAGAGTGCCACTTGCATGAGCTCTGTGCAACAGGGGAATGTAATGAACTTGGAAGAAAAAGTCTTGGTCTCAGTGCCTATGGTATAACCTGTCCACACCTCTGCCTTGGAAGAAGAGATGTTGAATAAGGGTGCCAAGAGCTCATGGCTTTGACAGATGCAATGGTTGTACTAATGTCTTACCTGTACATCTTTATGTAAGGCAGACCTTACCATTTGATGTGATTGTAACTGGTTTAAGTTTCTCTGGCGGCTTGCTGAGTGTACCCCTCCACGCCTGTGAGGCTTCCTGGGATGGCTGGCAGGTTGCAGTGGGTTTGCCTGAGTCTTAGGATGGGAAAAGTCACCACTGCCTGTTGTGTTACCTGTCCTTTTCATTTTATGACCCTTCACCAGCAAGGTGTGCAGGTCCCACTCACCCCCACCAGCAATAGCATTCTTTCTCAGTGGTAACAAAAGGCCTTCTAAAACAGGAATTGGATGTGTAATTTAAAACCTTTTTTCAGGTATAACAAAGGATCCAAGGTGTCTTTTCCCTTCAACATGGCCTGGGAGAAACTGCCTTGTACCACTCTACTGCTAATACTCGTTAAATTGGTAACAGTGCCTCGGAGGGGTATAGTTGGAGGTGGTCTCATGCACTGAAGATCTGTACTCCTTATGTGGCATTTCTGAGTTGTTCAATGTGTCCAGGATTCATAAACTCTGCAGGCAAAGTCCTTGTCATCCACCCACACACCCCACCCCCCACCCCCGCACTGAGCTCTCATGGACATGGGCTGCTGGTGGATGGCTGTTGGGGACCAGAGTGGCTCTCAGATGCTGAAGGACTCCAGATGGGAGGAGGGGGGGCACTCACCTGTTCTGACTCAATGAATAAATAAATAAATTCAAAACCAAGGGGGCATTCACCTGTACAGGACAGTGAGTGAGTAACCTGCTGAATGAGCCTAATAATAACATAACTAATGTGGTAGCTCATTTGGAAACTGCTTGTCTTAACATGAGCTTTATGGACCAGAATGACTGTGATGGGCTTGACTGGTAGCTTACAGTAGTGCTCCTTCTGTTGTGTAAGCATTGTAAAGTGCTATATGGTTGGCACGTGGGTACCTTCTTTTCAAATTTTAAGTATTGTAACTGAAATTCATAGAAACATAGAATCATTAAGGTTGGAAAAGACCTCTAAGATCATTGAGTCCAACCGTCAACCCAACACCACCATGCCCACTAAACCATGTCCCTAAGCACCTCATCTACACGTCCTTTAAATACTTCCAGGGATGGTGACTCAACCACTTCCCTGGGCAGCCTGTTCCAATGTTTAACCACTCTTTCAGTAAAGAAATTTTTCCTCACGTCCAATCTAAACCTCCCCTGGCGCAACTTGAGGCCATTTCCTCTCGTCCTATCACTAGTTACTTGGGAGAAGAGACCGACACCCACCTCGCCACAGCCTCCTTTCAGGTAGTTGTAGAGAGCGATGAGGTCTCCCCTCAGCCTCCTTTTCTCCAGGCTAAACAACCTCAGTGCCCTCAGCCGCTCCTTATAAGACTTGTTCTCCAGACCCTTCACCGGCTTCTCTGGCCACGCTCCAGCACCTCAATGTCCTTCTTGTAGTGAAATTCATGCTAGATAAGCAATTCCTTCTTGAAATTCATGCTAGATAAGCAAAAGCTAATGTTTTCCTGAATCTTTCATAATGTGGGTCTCAAACAAACAGGGATGCTGGAGGCAGAAACCGGCTGAGCACAGAGAGAGGGAAACATCCAGATCTTCTGCTCTTAAACTCAGAGGTCTCCAGTGATGGAGCCCTGCAGCCCTGACTGGGGGGGGGAGCTCATGGGGTGCCTGGCTATGTACAGTGCTCGATTGCAAAGACAGGGTGGGTCCTTGTCTCCTCAGCCCCAGCACAGCAGTGCTCAGGCCTGCACCCCGATGCAGACCATGCAGCAGCTTATAGTGCTTAATAGCTTTGGGGGGTTTTTTGGGTTGGTGGGTGGTTGTTTTTTTTAAAGTACAGGCTTCCACCACAGCAATCCAGGTGTTTTACTCTATCCAGGCTCAACAAAAATACGGCTCTTGCTCCAGGCTTGGTTTGTTAACACCACCAGGAGAGGTTAAGATGTGAGAAAGCTGGGCGTACAGAGCATCCGCCTGCTATGCACACATGCGTCCACAGGGAGCAGGAAGATGCTGTGTGACCAGACTGAATCAAAGCTATGCTTAGCAGCCAGGAGCACTGTACTGCAGCGTTCTTGCTAAGGCACGCGCACAGCTGAAACACTCAGGCTGTGCACAGGGGAGTTGGGTTACACAGAGAAGCAAGCTGACGCTCTCATGGCTGAGCATCTGCTGTGCCACGGCACAAGCATAGACCAAGTCGCTTGGGGCTACTGCTGACTTGCTTCTGTGGAGGTAATGTTAGCTGAGGGTGTTGTACTGTGTCTCTGGTTCTCCTGAAAGGGGAGAGAGGGTGTGTTGATAATCAGCTTGCTTAGATGAAATGCTCTACTCGTGAAAGAGTACTCATACCTGGCAGATAAAATGAAGCTCTGACAAGAGAGTTGCGACTTAAGTCAGCCAAACTGAAGCCCAAAACTGCAGAGATGGTTGCTGCATGATAATGCTAAGGTGTAAAAGCTTATGGGGTTTTGTTTGGTTGGTTGGTTTTTGCTGGTTTTGATTATTTTTTCAAACAAGTGAAGCAAAGCTGATAGTTTATGGTTATTGAAGTTAACCACTGTTATTAAATAGCTGGGGGGGAGGGGATGAGTGTCAGTTTCCAACTTCTACAGCCTTCTATTGCTGTGCTATCCAACTGTATTTTTAGCACAGCGCATGGCTTACATACTGGTATGCCAGCTACAGCATTGCCTCAAACAGTGCCTGAAAGCAAGCTGCTATTGCTGAGGGTCGCAGGGCTAAGTGCCTTGGGAAAGGTAGAAGACTGAGATGGTCAAAGACAAACGTTATGGCCATTATTTGGTTGTGTAGTTAAAGGTGAGGGGCAGAGGCAAGGACTATGTCTGAGTGGAGCTGGATGGATGCATGCTGCCTCCTCCTCAGCTCTACTACCCGGGGGTGATGTGCTTTGCTTTTGCTTCTTGTCAGTCCGACCAGTGTAAGAAAGCAAGTAGCTGGGAAACCTGAACTGTAAAAGCATCCCCTAACAGACAATGGGGTTTGACGGGTAAGCGGAGGGGTGGGCTGCTGTCAGAGGACAGACCACGAGTGTCTGTACAATGTGCGGGCATGTTGTTGAAGTGAAGTGTCTGATGTGAGAAAAGGGTCCAATAATATAATAACAAACATGTCCAAAAAAACCTACTGTGGTTATGGTGCAAGACTTTATTGAGCTTGAGTTATGGAACAGCATCTTCCTTGCACAGTAAGTACCCATGGAAGGGGACACGACGGGGGTGTGTGTGTGTGATGACAATGACAAGGGGGGGCCCACATGTGGCAGAAAATGCATGTGTGAGTTGGGGGGGTGCAGGGCACAGCAGTGCTGTGTGCAGGTGTGTTGGGTGAGTGTGCAGTGGGCATGTGTTGTGTCATATGTGTCCATGTATTCAGGGGACTGGTATTGTGGTTTGCGTCATCAGTAGCGTGTGTGTATGTATGTGGGCACATGCATGTGGAGTGTCCTGCGTGGAGCTTCACGCATGTGCAGTGTCATGTGTGGTATGCAACATGCATTTGTGGTGTGTCATGTCTGCAAGCACGTGCATGGTGTCATATGTGGCATCACAAGTGTGGTGTGTCTTGGGTGTGCAGCATATGTGGGGTGTGATGTGTGCAGTATCACGTGTGGTGTCATGTGTGCAGCACGTGCTGTCATGTGGTGCATCACACATGCAGCATCACAGGTGTGGTGTCGTGTCATGCATGTGGGGTCTGACATGTAGCATCATACATGTGGGGTGTAATGTGTGTGGCATGTCCTGTGTGGTGTCACATGTGGTATGTCACAGGTGTGTGGCAAACGTGGTGTTACATATGTGCAGCGTACATGTGGTGTCCCACATGTGGTGCATCACACAAGTGCAGCAGCATCACAGGTGTCTTGCACGTGTGCGATGCCTGAGTGTCTTGTGCTGCAAGTGTGCAATGCAGTGTTGTGTACTTGCAAGTGTGCTGTGGTGCAAGTGGCACATGACGTTGTGTGGTACACACCAGTGTGTTGTGGTGCAAGTGTGCAGCAGGTGTGGGTGTTGTGCAGCACACAGGTGTGCAGTGAGCACAGGTGGTGTGGGGCACACACGGTGCACTACCCCACTGTTTTGTGACTCGCCTGTGTGTTGCATGAGTAGCACGCAGGTCCTGTCTCCACTGCCTGGCACCAGCATGGTTTGTATCCCAAGTGTGCAGCATACACCTACTCTGTTTTTCATGTGTGCATGAGTGGGTTTTGCCTCCGGTGGGTGTTGTGTGTTTTAGATGTGCAGGGGTGTGTGTTCTGTGTCTCAAGTGTGGTGTGCACATGGGGCATGCACAAGTGGTTGGTGTCTCACAGCTGCAGTGCAAGTGGTTTGTGTGTCACATGAAGAAGCCCCCCTGGGTGCCACTGAGGTTCTCCCCCACAGCTGCCCTCCAGCCTGCCCTGACTGATCGCATCCCCCTCCCTCCTGCCCAGCATGGGTGTTGTCATGGCTGGCTGCAGCTGTCTGGGGATGAAGCGCCCCGTTGGGGTGCCAGCCAGTCTGGCTGCTGTGCAACAGGAGCCTGCCTGCAGCCCCACTGGCATTTTTCAAGGCTGGAAGGGTTTTGTGTCCCCCACTCCCCCTCACCACACAGCCCTGCTCTGCGTGAGCTGAAGTCCTGTCGAGGGAGGTGGTGGGTAAACACTCCCTCTGTGCACATCAGCAGCCTTCTGCTACAGCAAGACCCACCCCGTCAGCCACAGTCCCAAAGGTGAAGGCACAGGCAAGGCAGACTGCTCCCATGCAGCACCTCCATGGCAGCAGGAGAGATGCTGAGGGTGTAGGAACACGTACAAGTGTGGTGGGAAAGAACTGTAGCTCCTGAGGCCAAGCCTTCTGCTTTTCCTCCTCATGGCAGCACATCTGCAAAAACCTGAATCCAAAGCAAGGTTAATGGTTAGAGACATTCCTCACTGCAATAATCTGGCCTTGTAACTTTGTCTAAGAGTACTGTCACTCTGCTAGCCCACTGAGGGAAAAAGTCTTGAAAGCATCTACACTCATCTACAAAACTCACTGGGCTTTGGCTCCAGAGCTGCTTGGATGCTTTTGACCATTTATCCTATGTTCTTATGTGATAATAGTTGATCCAAACACAGAGGAACATCACTGGGAGGCATCAACTGCCTGTTTTCAGCCCACTCACCTTAGCATCACAACTTTGGTTTATACCACCTCATCAACTGCACCACAGCTCTTTTCTGGTTTTACCATTTTAACTTATCTGAAAGAAAACCATGTATACATCATATCATGCTGAATGTTAGAAGTATTTATTTTTTTATTTACAAAGCAGCTCTTTCAATTTGTTACTAGCGGAATAGAATCATAGAACCATTAAGGTTGGAAAAGACCTCTAAGATCATTGAGTCCAACCGTCAACCCACCACCACCATGCCCACTAAACCATGTCCCTAAGCGCCGCATCTACACGTCTTTTAAATACCTCCAGGGATGGTGACTCAACCACTTCCCTGGGCAGCCTGTTCCAATGTTTAACTACTCTTCCAGTAAAGAAATTTTTCCTCACGTCCAATCTAAACCTCCCCTGGTGCAACTTGAGGCCATTTCCTCTCGTCCTAATAATGTGTATTTAAAATACACAATAATAATAAATGAAGTGGGGGGACAAGGCCTGCTATTCGCACCCCACTTACTTAAACAGCAAGACAAACCACATGGTAACAATTTCCTTCCTTCCTTTGCAGTCCTTCAAAGGTCTTCCAGTGTTTCACCATCCACTAGAAAAGGCCAATTTTGGCTGCTGGGCACATGCAGAGGGGATTTCTTCAGTGAAACTCCTTGCACAGAGGCTGTGGGCTCAGCTGCTGCCTGAAACAAGAGTCACACATTAGAAAAGCTGCAAAGCTTTGACCCAGTGGCCGCTGCATCTTCAGCACTGATTTCAAGCACTGCGGCCCTTTCTCAGCCTGGCAAGAAAGTCAGGCATTTGATTTTTTTTTTTTAATATGTGCATGTACATAAATGCTACATATATACACACACAGAGCCACACATATGTACATAAATATTTATTTACATGTATATACATATATAGGTAGATAGACAGATGAAGATAGACATATGCTTGATTAAAAAAGACACTTGGAGTGGCCAATTAAGAGCCAAGTACTTCATTACCCAGTTCAGCAATGGACTGCAATCCTGTGCGCCTCACAGTCCCAGCTAGTGTGTTAAAATGCAACTTTTTCTGTTTCAACCTGTGTGACAAATTTAACCCTGCTAAGGGCCAGCAGCAGGTAACCTGCCACCGAGGGCCATTTGGAGACCCGTTTCCACCTCAGCAGCTGAAACTGTGGCCAGTGACATTTCAAAGCCCTCATGTCACAATTTTTAGACAGGGAACAAAATGAGGCTGAGGGTGAAGAGGCAGCAGGAGTGGGGAAAGCTGCATTTCCAGAGACACGATGGTTCCTGGTGGCAGACAAGAGGTTTCCAGCACTTGCTCTGGGGCAAGGATTCGGGGTGCCAGGCTCCATCACCTCTGGGGACATGGGAGATGGCTCGTGCCACTCAGCTGAAGCCTGGGTCAATGGCCCATCATTTCTTCCTGTGGTTTGCCCCATCCCAACATCTCCCTTCCCCTGACCCAGTCTTAGGTACTCAGCTCCTGGTTGAGACACAAGCATTAGGTCAGCTGCTGTGCATTTGTAGTTGAAGTGTATTCAGCACCTACTGAAACTGCCACAGCCCTTCATATATGTATATATAAATACATATATTTTATATATAAAAATAATATATACTATTATAGACAACATACATATATATTTATATGTGTATATATACCAAAAATATACAAAAGAGATAAAAGATCTTTTATACACACACACACACATTTTTTCCTGACCTGTACAAAGACATCTGGCATAACCAACTGACCATCCAGTACTGCCCAAACGATCCTGTCACCCACGAATGAGTGCAGTGACATGTCACCAAAACCGAGGCAACTGAAAAACCAGACGCAAACGGTGCGGAGTACGCTCCTGCACGCACAGCAAGTGGTGCACACCACAGCTCTGCTTGTTAGCCTGTTTCTTGGAAGTGAAAGCATAGGGTAAGTTACTCTGCAACATATGTTTTTTCATAAGAGAGGAAAGCATTCAAAATTTACAAGACAATTCTATAGTTGTAACAGGAGCTTGTACTGTACGTGCTTCTTACAGCGCCTTTTTACGAGGCTCATACTATAGAGACCTCACTGTTATCTGCAGAAGACTTTGTCTGGCTGGGCATTTTCTGCACCAAGCTTTGCATTCCTCCCCTTTTGCCCAACCGTCCTTCCCCAACAAAGGCTCTTTTTTCAGGAGAATTAAGGCACAAATCATTGTATCTGTTCCAAGGGCAGAGTGTGTCAGTCTTATTTTCTCCGTGAGGAGCACTGGCATTCATGGGACGCCAACAGCTGGATCTGAGCATTTCCTTTAATTGAACAGGTTTACAGTCTTTCTGTGCTGAAGCAATTCTCCACATCACACAAGCCTTCATACCAGAATAAAATGAAAATTTAAGAGCGCTGGCTAACAAGACCAAGAAGCTCATTGTTTAAACAAGAGGCCAATTGTCTGGGTACTCCAGTGCCCCATTCCTCCAACGTTAAACCCACACGAGGGACAGCAGCCTAATCCACAGCTTGCCACCAGGTGGTATAGAAATTAATCTTCCACTTACCCGGGCTATTAGTTGCGGTATTCGTAAAGGTTTGCAACCCAATGAGGCTAGCGACTGAAGTTTTCTCCTTGTCATGGAGGGTCGTGGCAACGTGGCAATATGAAATACCAGCCTTCAGGGGTGTCCCCCATGGTGAGGAAAGTGTGGACGATATGCACTGCAGGGAGACTGGGGGGAACGGCCCCCAGGACCTTCTGGTTCAACACACGCAGCCCCAGGCTGTCTAACTGCACAGCAAATATGTTGGAGGACAGGGGATGGACTGGGAAAGCCCAGGCTCACCAAGGACCTGAGCATAGTCCACCATAACGTGCAGGGCTGAGCAAGTTTGGTGTTTATGAGGAAAGGCACTAAATACCGATTTTTCTCCCCTTTTAGCAACACCAGAACTCCCATTTCTAGTCTGACAAGACCCCTGGGAGTGCTGGACATGCACAGGGACCCTCACTAGAACTCCCAAAAGCTCAGGGGCATGCTTCAAATCTGCTTGCATCTTCCTAACGGGGTAATTACCAGAGCAGAGGAGGAAAAGAAATCCAGTACTTTGTTAGACTGCTGCTCTACTAAGTCCAAGCAGGAAAGGGAAAATACTCAGCAGCAAGCAGGTGATCAAAACGGGGACAACACAAGCTGGTCCACGTGAACATTTGGAAGGGTAAAGCCTCAGTAGTGTTTAGCTCCATCGCTTCCAGTTTTCATCCGCTCCCATTTCACTGCAGACCTAATTCTTTGCAAAGCACTGCCAAAGCTTTTCACAATGCCAAGATACATGTAGTTTGATGCAGATAATATTTACAAATATTACAACCATTTTCCCTATTCTTCCCTAGTGTTTTCCCAGCAGCTTACAATCCCATCTGGCTACGGCTTTTCTTAACTGCCCTCTCAATGACTTTCCTAACCCCAGGAGCTTGCTCTCCCGCCACAGGAGGATGGCAGCCTCTTAACTTGCCTGCGTGATGACCAACCTACTTGCTGTGCAAATGGAAAAGCGAACGGTCAGGGCAAAGTGCAAGTCAGTCCCTCGCCACATGTTTGCGCATGACTCTGACTTGGTGCCCAGGTATGTCTCCAGGGCGTCCCAGGTCATTCCCCATCCTGGAGAAACGCTCTGCAAAACGCAACAGCTTTTCCCAAACGGTAACACCACAGTCCCCTGTCACCCCATATATTCCTCCTGTCTGTGTCCTCACGTGGCAGCAATTTAACAGTTTATGCACCATCTTCTTCCATGTCTGCTATCAAATTTCCAGCTACACCAAATTCTTGTTTTTCCAGGGTTTAATTAGGCTAGAGGTCCAAATTCTGCAAGATAACAGAAAAACTGAACAAATCTGAAAGGCTTTAATGCAGATTTCTATGGAACCCATGAATAGCAGCACAGTTAATGCAGAGCTTGGGCTTAGAGGAATTTGAATCCAAATTATTTTTGTTCCTCGTTTGGCTTGCTTTATAAAACATACAGCCAATAATTCCACAGACTCTGTCAAACTCCTTGCTATAAATAACAATTTACCATTGAAAAGAAATGTAAAGGGTCAGAGCTGTGCTCCGAGATTCACATGTCACCCGCAAAAGGAGCTTCCGAGCGAGTTGGACACAGGCTGGGAAGTAAATTTCCCAAAATGGGAAACAATGGGAAGAACTGAACAGATAAGGTGTTTAATTCCTTCTGGTCCCATATCTTTACTTAATCCGGTGTTAATCCCACCTGCAAGCACTGCCCCAGGATGAGTCACTGGACAACCACACACCCAGACCCAGCCTCCAGCCTAAACCTGAAAGGCAGGGCAAAGAGCAGAAGCAAGTGTGCAGTCCCACTGCTAACCTCCACCCTTAGCTGTCACTAGATCTAGCCTTTGGTAACTCGTTCTAGAATCAAAATTAGCAAACCAGTTGTGGGGACCAGCTGGGGTCCTGGTAGTGGGAGCTGCAAGGCTGGCTCTATTTAGCAAGATGGTGTATCCCTGACCAACACTGGACATGATAAAGCATTCTCCTTTTCCTCATCCAACTTTGACTAAAGTACAAGGATCCAAGAACTGAACCATCAGCCTTGGCTTTCCTGAGCTGGAGTCTCCATCTCAGCACTAACCACTGCCTTAATACTACAGAAGCGTTTAGTTCAGTTTAGGAAAACTAAAACTTAACCCTCTTCCAAAGAGGAGCAGGTTCCTGCAAGTGCCAGCTCTCATCCTACCTATGCAGGACTGCGTTCCCACAATAAATGTGTGTCTGAATCCCCTGTGTTGACAGCTGTAAAGCTAGCTCCAATTCTACTCATAAACAAAGCCACAATCAGGAGACCTAGTCACAATCATCATGGGTATTTCTGGCAAATGCTGAACAGAAATGTGTGTGTCTGCTAAAGCTGGCCTTTATCTTGTAGCTGCAGACGTTAAGAGATCCACTAGTTATATAGGCTCAGCTACCTCTATTTTTCTGAAATAACCCTATTTCCCAACTTTGTCACTAATCTTAAAATCAACAGCAGCCTACCAGACAAGAGGAGCAGCCTGTGCATGAGAGCGCTAATGTCTGCCCTTAAACTGCCTGGCCAAAACTGGCATAAGGCAGCAGACTTACGAGCAGCTTTCACCTGAACCAGCCAGAAAAAACACTACCCTAAGCCCTGACCCAGTGAATAGAGACAGCCAATTGTCCGTGACCTGCTTTGAAAGAGTAAGGCGGCATTTAGCAATTCCAACACCAGCTCTCGTTTTGGGAGGATTAGCTTTATTGTGCATCTCTGTTATCTAGGTCAAAGAAGCTCTCCAATTCCAAACTTAATTTCATCCCCTCACAGCAACCACCAAAGTGCTGCTCTTTCAATTCCTCCTGGCTGAAGATGTGGGAAATGGTACTCGGCTCTGCTGTCCCATCTCCCTGTGATTAACATGAACTGTTAATAATGAGGCTTCTCTGTTGCTCAAATCAGACCTAAGCAAAGCTTGAACTCTAGACTTACCCTTAGCAAAAGCAATACCAAGCATCAATGATTATTGCTTCATAAAGTGAAAAAGGTATAACATTAAAACAATACCAGTGTTCACTCTAGAAGAATTAATATTACCAAATACACAAGTACACCTACTTTTTGGCCCAAGGAGAGCTCTTATCCTAAACCCC